ACCCATGTGCCACGTAACGCATCAAAAATGCCAAACGCGCTTGCACTGCCGTTACTAGTTGCACCCCAAGCGCGGCTGGGCTAATGCCCGGTTTTCCAGGTTTCCCACGAACACACAGGAAAATAAACGTGGAACGCATGTTGCAGATTTTGCTACATGCACTACTTTCCTGTATTTGGTGCGTGTTCAGGAGCCCATTGAAATCAATGGGGACATGCAGCACACACTAGAAACAAACACCCACAAATGCATCATGATGCACATTCTTGCCATGCCATGGTGTGAATGGGGACTGATGCATTTATGCTTAAAGCTGAACTCCATGAAAACCTGCAAAATACATATACGAGAGCTGTTAAACCTGCCAAACAATTTGTATTACTATCCATCCAGTTCTGAGATTCACACAGCTCTGCCCCAGAACACAGGGAATCTGATCTTTCTCTGTTGCTGTTTTACTTTCACTTAGAGGATCCCTCCTCTAACCCCAGCACACTGAGGAGCTTGTCTCTTTGTCACTCTGCTCTCTGCTATAAGCATGCCTCTTGCACTGCAGCATACCTGATTGGCTCTTTGTGCTGGTTCCACCTGCCCATCTCCAAGCTCTGCTGTACAGACTGTACAGTAGACTGCAAGACACTAATACCACGAACAATTCAGGTACTTGCACTGTTTATTAGGGATGCACTGATACCATGTACCGTACTCGGTACAAGTACAAGTACATGTACAGATACTTTTGAGCTCCAAGACTAGACTACAGAAAAATTCAACAATTAGGAGGCAGCTGTCATTTGTAAGGAGCACACGGAGCTCCTGGGATTTGTACATCTCTGTTTTAATGTATGATTTTATTTTTATAAATATAAATAAAGGGATGCACCGATACCATTTTCTCAAGTACAAGTACCGATACTTTTCCAAGTGCTCACAGATACAAGTACTGATACATTTCTGTTTAGTGTCATGTGACAGTTTTTCCACAACAATACAGACTAATGATTTCAGGACAGTGGTGGAGCGCCAGAGCCAGGTCCCAGCTGCAACTGCTACAACCCTGGTAGTTCTCATGAAAATGCCAAGTATCTGCACTGGTACTCAAAAGTATCTGTGCATCCCTACTGTTTACATATAAAAAAATACATTTATTGATGTATTAATAATTACAGACCTGTAGTAATGCGTGTTGTATATATCTGCCTGGAGTTTAGATGTAATATTTACAATGATAAAAGATAAAATAATACTTAGTTCCCTTACTAGTTGAGCCTTTGCAGAATAGAGGTCCTATAATGTCATTTGCTATAAGGTCCAGTCATTTGGGTCTCTCATCTCACCCTCTCATAAACAAGCAACCCACTGACAGTGTACTGTTGACATTTATTCTTGATTAGTCCGTGTTTTTTTACTAAGATATATTATATTCCTGTGATAGAATGTAAACATACTCCAATAGTCCATTTTACGCATTCTGATGTTATCTCTTATCCTTTGTAGTGTTTTACATTACTATAAAAACTGAATAAAGTAAATATTGTATTATGCAACAAATGTATTTATTATACCCTGCGGCTGTGTTTTCACAATACGGTTCACAGAGCTGCACAGCTGCAGCGGACCACTGACATTCCTTTCAATAATGTCATCCAAATGTCCATTTCATTAACCCTTAATATTTAGGCTTAACACACAGAACACATATAGTATACTTGTGTATTATGTGTATTCATAGGGTAGGTCTAGGTTGTATTTGTGACTTATATTCACTACACTTAAAGCTAATATCTGGAGGATCAGGTTGCTTGATCTCCATGCCCAAATTCATATGCTGGTCATAAACACATCTATCTGATTGATATATTGAAATTCTAATAATGAAACATTAAAGTGTCTATTTATAAATAATTTGCAGAGCCGTTCTCCCTGAGAATCTCTGTGAACATTTGTTTTGTGTGAATAGGAGCAGAAAGAATGTTCTTAGTATATTATCTTTTCAGGTCAAATGTAATGTAATAGCACATTATTATCACTAGATGGAGCTGAGGAGCATGGGAAATAAATACTAATAATCCAATATTAAGGTGTCTATTTATAAATAATGCACAGATCCATTTTCCCTGAGAATCTCTTTGAACATTCCTTTTGTGTGAATGGGAGCAAAATTAATGTTCTTAGTATGTTATCTTTTCAGGTCAAATGTAATTTAAAAGTGCATTATGGCCATGATTTCCTATGCTCCTCAGCTCCATCTTATGGCCATATGCTGTATTACATTACATTCGACCTGAAAAGAAAATATACTGAGAACATTTGTTTTTGCTTCTATTCACAAATGTTAACAGAGGTTTGCAGGGCGAATGGCTCTGTAAAAGTGTTTATAAATAGACTGTTTTATTGTTTTTCAATAGATTTTTTACCCCACAATTTTTATGCCATGTAAGAGATTTAATGGCAATGAATCGGAATTGAAAGCCATTAGATAAGTAGGTAAATTCTGATTCCAAATAATCGCTCAAGAGTTTGCTTACCCCAGTATTGTTTTGACTTTTCTAAAGTGTATGTAAAACCAAAACCTTTTTTTAATTTTTTTAATTATTTTAGATAGGGTAGAGAAATGTTAAAACTAGGGATGCATTGATACAGTTTTCTCAGTATTGAGTACGAGTACTGATATGGGTGGTGTGTAATGACTCGCTGCCCGGCTTCCTGATTAGCCAGGAATCTGGGCGGCGTGTAATGACCGATTAGCTGGGAAGCCGTCTCCATGCTCTCTTGCCACCAGGTGACGAGAAGGCATGGAGCCGGCTTTCTGGAATCCAGAGGGGGGGAAATGACTCGCCACCCGGCTTCTTGATTGGCGAGCTTCCCGACCAATTAGGAAGCGGAGCGGCGAGTCATTACACGCCACCCACGCTGCCGCTGTTCCCCCAGACGTCTTCTTACGACCCCACTCCACTGCTCTCCACTCCCGCCTTGCTCGGTGTTCTCTTTCCCCAAGCTCCGCCTCCCAAAAAACCTTTCCTGAATGTGCACAGCACAAGAGGGTACCAACTGCACAGGGGGGGGCGGACCGTACTAAGTTTACTGTATGCCGCGGCAGACCCTGTAAGAGCCACTCACGGACACCGGTGTCCGTGTACGTACTCCTTGCCGATCCTTGCGCACGATATTGTGCTTTTAGTGCAACACTTAGGTGTGAACCAGCCCTAAATTCTATATAGCGTGGCAGCAGCAGGAGGGCTATCAGTATATCAGTATATTATGTACTTTTAACACTGCTTGACTAGAGCCATTTCTAGAACTGTAGGTTGTAGGCACTGGCTACAAGCACTGTTATTGGTTTCGCCTTCATGCAGAAAGTCTATGTCGGGGAGTGTAGAAGCTCCGGATACAAAAAGGGAGCACTAAGGTCCAAAAAATATTTATTTCCCCATATGATAAATGCCAACCTGTTTTTGGGGGTTTAATTTCCTCCTTCGGCAGGGCTAAAAAAAAAGTGTACAGACTTTTCCTACTGTTTTATTTTAACTCAAAGCCATTAAAATAGCTCAACAAGTCCTTATTGATCTAGGTCCCATGTCATCTGCTTGGGCTGTTATATTGGTAGTTGCCCTACTAATGAAAGCAAATATTATTATTACTATCATTCAGGATTTATAGCACACCAGCAGTTTGTGCAGTAAATCTCAAAATATGGGGAGAGAGTACAGTTACAATATAATACTATACAAGGAGATTAGAAGGACCTTGCTCATGCGGGCTTACAATCTACAAGCAGTGCGAATGTTTGTAAGGCCTCATCTGTCTAGGTGTTTAATGATTTTTGGCAAACAGTTAAAATGAATATATTATTTATTTATATGTATATAATTCATGTGTGCCTCTGGCCTGACAAAAAGCCCTGCCGTACAGTGTAATAGGACTGGGCAAAGCCAGGCTTCCAGGTCTCCATAATGAGTGGAAAAAATCTCCCGGTAACTGGGATATCCTACTCTTTATACGCCCGCACGGAGTCGGTCTGAAGAGATAATCACTATATATGTCAGGGTGGCATACATATCATCAAAGCCACAATTTTATTGGCCTGTCACTTTTTGGAGTTGGTGCCTAGGTGTTGGAAAAAATGGTTCACCTCTCAATTATATACATTTATAGGCGATTCGGGAATTTAGTAAACTTTTAAACTATGGTATAGCAAAAAGTCGGTACTTCAACCAAATCCGGAGGGCAAAACCATGTACAGGAAAGGACAGACGAATGGTCGGGCTTATTGCAAAGATGCTTTATTTAATTGTTGTAATCATAACCACTTTAAGGGCCTGTGTTGATAGGCTTTGGGCTTGTGTCAGAAGCACCAGTTTCACGAAAAGAAAAACCTTGCCACACTCCTTACTGGGACTCCCATAATATGCCAGAAGCACCAATTTGACACCACTTTGAGACGCTCGTGAGATTACTCAAAATTATTGACAGGTGCAGTTGACCTCATTCTGATTTGAATTTGACCTGCTTCAAGTGGGTTTAGCATTCCCATTGACTTTCATAGAATGCAAAACTCACCCAATAGAAAGTGGAATTAAACTCACCTCTTCTAACTCCCTTGCCAGTACCAACATCATCACTCGATCTTTTTCTGGGTTTGGGATCTTCGGCCGTCTTGATTGGCTGCGCGGGAATAATGTAACTCTTGCGCATGTACATGGGAGTTCATTCATTCCAGCTCAAAGGTGTGTGTGCATGAAAACCACCCAGTTGCCATTGTACGTTTTATGCAAAGTGTCCCTACTTTAAAAGCTAAATGATCTTTTGATCTCATTTCAGTAACGTGAAATCCCTTTGTTTTATGTACAGTTCATGTACAATTCTGGAACTTCTGTAAGTTCCAGAATTGAAACTTGATAAGGCGAGGAAGACTCATAAAAAGTACTCCCATACTAGTCAGCAGCAACCTACATTTTATGGTACTGTGTTTTTCATTTGTATTCTGTTTTATCCCACAGAGGATTTCACTCCAGTTCAGTACAAAGCTCTGCAACCTACAAAATTGGAGAAAAAGCTTCCACCATACAATGGCTTTGGTTCAGAAGAAGATTCACTCTGCTCCTGTTTGAGTCTGTTACCAAAACCCCCCCAAAGGGATTTCAAAAAATTCATGGAAAAGGACAGGTATTGTTGTTAGTGGGCACCAATAGGAATGCATCAATTAATAAATAGAAATGAATGTATTATCTATTTTAAATCACATATTTATAGCATTAAGTAGTTTAATTTTATAAAACCATATGTTTATAAAACCTAAAGCTTGCCTAAACCCAACAACAATATATATTACAGCATACCAGTCCTTAAGATGTGGTGGCTGCATTCTTTTGCTTTTTTTCAGGCTTTTGTTCTTTATTTTGACCTGGTGATCCTGCTAGTACGCCTGAACGTCTCTTTTCCTGGCCATGGGCTTCGGTTTTGTGCTTATTAGCCCCCTATGTGAAAGCAATAAAGTTAAATTTAAAAAAAATGTAAAACTTAAAGTGACATAAAAAAATAAATATATTTTTAAAATCCCTCCACCCCCACGTACAAGCGCATACAAATGCAAACGCATCAGTGCACCTACGTGTGAAAACAGCCACACATGTTCCACTGATGATCACTGTGAACATTGAAGTGAGAGTAATAATTTTATGGCTATCACTCACTAATGGCTCTAAATTGATGAGTGATAAAGGCTTTTAAAGCATTGCAAATGGACAATTTTGGCTACCATCATTTTTTGTCATTTCATGTACGCGCCCAATTTTAAGGTTTGACATTTTTGGTACCTATTTACCTGATGCGACCTTGTCTTTTATATTTGACAAAAAAATGAGTATTAAATTCTGTTTGCATGCACAAAAATAAATGTTAGTGTATTTTTTCCTAAAAATATCAATTAGATAAACATTTGCGCAAATATTGTGCAACATAAAAAAAAATCACAACTAGCTTTTTTTTATTTTACAGGCCCTCTGCTTTCAGAAAATATATCGTTGTTTGGGAGTTTTAAGCAGCTTTCTAGCCAAAAATTCAAATTTTAACATGTGTGAGAAAGTGTAATAATTGGTCTGGTAGCGTAGCAGTTAATGTTTAAGGAATGGTGGTTGCCATAATTAAGGGACAAAACCACATTTAAACCAGTACTATGAATAATTAGTATTTTAAAGGAGTAGTATTGGGGAGTAAAATATACTCTTCCCAATACCTAGAGCTGGTGTGGGACACTGCAGGTGCAACATGGCAGCTCTATATATCGAGAACTGAGTGATCACAAACTGCTGAACACTCAGCTCATGGTCTTCTCCCTGCAGAGTGATGACTGTCAGTCACCATTACCCGCAGGGATTCCTCCTTCCCCTCTCTGTTCCTCCAGCTCTCATTGGAGTGAAAGACAGAGGAGAGGGTGGGCACAGCTGGATCTGGTTCTAGACAGGCTGAGCCAGCTGTCAATCAGGTAGTGGTTTGGATCCTGACAATATTGTTGGGATCTTTCCCAGCTACAGCATGCCTCTACACTGTCTGCAAATAGCAGGCAGTAGCCCTCTAGATGCTAACTTTGAGTCACAAGATTATATTAGTAAATGTACTTCTTTGGCCCAAAAGAAGACTAAAGCCAAAAAATGTTTGTCTTTAGTTCTCTTTTAATGGACCATACACGGCAGAATTTTGTCTTCAATAATCTAGCAGAAGAACTGATAACATTGTGACCCTTCAAGTACAATACAATAATGCAGTTGCAGAACATCTTATATGCTCATGTGCTAGCCAGTGGAGATTTGTAGAGGTTCTTTACACAACAGAAGAAGATCTAGCTAACAGTATGTATTTTTCTCATAGAGTGTAAGTTCTTGTAATTTTGTAATTGCTATCTCTTTTAGGAGTGGCCTGGAGACCAATGTTCTTAGATTCATTGCAAAGCTCATTACAGAAAACCCCATTGATTTAGAAAGAAAGTTCATTATCTCCTATTTCTTAAGTGATGACACCATCACTGTATTTGAACCACCACAGCGAAATTCAGGTACTGACGAAATAGTATAATGTCTTAATAAATACAAATAACTGCTGTTGATGTAATTTGGTTCTGTTTGACTACAGTTAAATTACTCATCATGTCTATCTACAAAGAGATGGAAGATCTTCAGGGCCAGTGTACTTCTTCTGCTCCTGCCTTCAATCTCCTGAACTGTACATACTAGCTTGCTGCCATTGATCCTACTCTTTCTTGTGCCTGGTTGCAGGTGCCTTAAAAGTAAAAGTGCTAAGTGAAGATAAGCACAGCATTATCTGTTGGAGAACAGGGGTTGCTTTGAGCCTGGTTGAATTTGTAGCAGCTAGGACACCTTTTGCTAATCCACTGCTAAATGGTCTGTTCATATATCTGAAAATACAAGCCTTGCCCATTTCCATTTTACACAAAGGTTTGAAATACCTGTCATGGATTTTAAATTATTTGCTTAGTTGGTTTATGTCAGTTGCCTCATATTATATTTTCATTCATCCAGGAATTCTAGGTGGAAAATTTTTGGAAAGATGTCGTGTTAAGAAACCAGGGCAAGAATTGTTCAAGAGCGAGATGTCTGAATACTTCAATGCTGCAAATCTGTTTGTTGGAGCTAGAGTTAACTTCAATGGGCACAAGTTTATCTTGGTTGATGCCGATGAATATGTGTTCAACTATATGGAGAAGCATGTGCACGAGGTACTGTGTGTGGATTGATGGTTTCATTTTGTAGAGTATAACATTGTGCTTATTATTCTATATATTTTAGATCGGTTTAATGTTGAAGATAACCATTTATATTATATAAGAACTCAACTGTTTTGAGTGTAAGGAGAAAACTAGGAAGGTGGTCAGAGGATGGTAAAATTATTAATGCACCTGTTCCACTTCTTAAAATAGATGCAAACACTAACAGGTCTATTCAGAAAAGGGAGAAGAGTTTGGAGAAGGCAGGAGAAGTGAACAATCTAGGACATGAAAGCTGAACTGGAAAGTGAGCTGAATTGGAGAATTTTTCCAAATTGTTCACTTCTCCTGCCTTCTCCAAACTCTTCACCCTTTTGTGAATAACCCTGTAAATGAAAGACATTTAGTTTGTAAAGCACTTATCATAGACTGTTGCCTTTCTTAAAAATATAATACTTGTTTTAGCGTGCATTCACACAAATATCGGAAGGTACTCACAAGTCAACGGAGGGTCCGTTGACTTGCGATTGTTAAATCCAATTTCCTTCTAATCCATTGCGTTCCGTCACTTTTATTTATTTATTTTTTCTTTTTGGCAAGCTTTATGTAAGTAACATGTCCTGAGTGGACATACTTCACTGTAATGGCTTGCAATATATCACATTATGCATGCTCTACTTTTTGTTAGTGGAACGTATAGCAACGGAACACAAGGATGCAGTGTGAGCTGTCCCCATTCGCACCATTTCATTTTTCGTTACCCTTATGTTACCATTCGTTAAAAAACAGATGGTAATGCAATGCAATGGATCCGGTGTGAATGAGGCCTTAACCTTTGTTTCATCCAACACTGCATCTCAGTGCTGCATCCTCTTTGTAGCTACTTTCTGTTTATATGAATATACTCCCTAAATGGCTACATGGAATTCTTCAGGGTGGGTTTGCTGATGGGGTCAATAGTGGACCACATCGGTATAATGTGTGTTAAAAAATCCATTCTGGGTTTCCATCAGAAGCCTTTGTGACAAGGTGCCAATACATTTCCTCCTAAAGTGCTGATCCATGTGCATCCTGTTGAAGGCAAATAGGGTAACACTAGAAGTGTAGCATATGATACTTAGGAATGGTTCAGAGTTATAGAGTTTCAGATTTATTAACACCTTTGTCTCAATTTATCTGCTTTACTAAAATACAGTGTGACTGAGTGGCATGACATGTTCAAGATGCTTGAGAGACCCACTTCTAGAGGGGATGACAGCTTAAGGGCCTTAATTAATGGTTCTGATATTTTCAATTTACTCTCAGTTTGCATTATGTTGTGTTCTTTTACTGCAGGTCTAACAAAGACTACTGGTATAGGATAAGGGTGGTCATTTTTGACAGGGGTTGATCTACACTAAAAGTCTACATCAAGCGAGAAGCTCTTTTTTTTTAAATTGTAGGGGTTCTTATCCTTCTCCACTCTAATCAAAAATAAGAACAAAAGTTTTGGCTTGGCATACACTTTAAACAGGATTTGCAATTGTCAGTAGTTATAAATTGAACTGATCAAAACATATGCCGTGATTGAGTCATTAATATTGCTGTTATAGATCAATACTTGGTATGGTTTACACAAACTAATTATTTGTTCCTGCACACATCGCAATGTGGCACTGAAAGAGGATTATCTCTATCCTAAAGTAAAATTCAAGTCTTCACTTTGAACTTTGCCATTTCAATATTTTCCCAAAAAATCCCAATTATGTGATATTCTTTTAATCATCAGACTTTGACGTTTATAATTGGGTTTACATATCTAGGGTTGTGTTAACTGCGGGAAAAGTTGCTTTGGGAAGAATTACAGGTAAATGCATTTATCTTCACATTTTTTACTTTTCCTTCCTTAATAAAACCTAGAAAATAAATATATATTTTTCCAAATCTTCCATCAAATTTGGATAAATATATTTTAAAAACCCTCTATCCAAAACTAAGAATAAGAGTTTTGGCTTGCCATATACGTTTAACCAGATTTGAATTTGTGAGTAGTTATACACTGAACCGATCAAAACATACACTGTGATTGTCTTAAACATTGCTGTTATAAATCAGTACTTAGTAGGTCAGTGCTGAAAACATTGTTCTATTGCTGGTTTGAGCTGTGGTATATTTTGAGGTTGTTTAACCAGTGAACTTGGACTATTTATTGGGTCCCATAACCCATTTTTGGCTTTTTAAAGCTCTCAGATGCACAATATTCTGTTGGTGGGATTTATGTGTTTGGGGAGTCATAAAATAAATGCAAAGCAACAATTTGTTGTATCAGACAAATGATCCATTGACATTACCCTAAAAGTTTATTGCATATTTTAAGGAAGCACTCTGGGCAAAACTTTTATTAACCTTTGTAGTGGAGCTACCACAGCACTGCAAGGGTTAACTGCTCATTTTTGTCTAAGTGCCTAAAAAAATATATACTCACCCGAATTGCTGAGCTGGCTTCCTCTTAGACCGATTCTTGCAGCCTCTCTCACCCTCATCTGCAGCGGTCTAAGGTCTCGTAAATCGTCATGTTCTACACATAGTGTATGAACGTGAGGACACTGAGGAGCATTCCAATGCTGCAGTGTAGGAAAACACACGCTTCAATGACCGGAGAAGCAGGGAGCCAGCTCAGCGGACCAGGTGAGTATAACTTTTTTGCCTGGAGTCCTTCTTTAAACTCTGTCCAGTGTTTTGGAGATCTGTCAACTTGGAATTGTATTAGTATAATAACAGCTTCACACAAGTAATATTATCTTTAAAAAGCAAAGCATTATTTGTTAATTTTATTTACACATGTTTGTATCAAGCTCTTAAATTTAAATTTAATGGTCAGGGTGATGCTCAGGTAATTAGTTTACATTGCCTTTAATTGCTTAAATATATACAAAAATATGTGGTTATGGCTAGCAAAATAAATTCCCTAAAATAAAATTAAAAAAAGTCTAAATACCATAGAGTTATGTTTGGGAAACAATTTTAGCTATCACATAACAGATACTTGGTAATATGAGAGGTTAATACACCTCATAACCCAGGCATTCCACATAAACTCTTACCCAAGGCATTGACATTGGCTCCAATGCGATATTTAAATATAACCTCTCAAAATCCTAGACATCATTTAAAAGTTGAGCTTGGCTAGAAAGTTACCACGATAAGAAAAGTTTATATGTTTTATCTTTAAAATATTCACAATCTATAAAAACATCACTAGGCAGTACACCAACACAACAGTAATAGTTACCTTCCAGTGACATTCCATGGTTTATTAATGCATTTTTCTGGCCAGGAACAGCTAATTTAGTTCCATCACTGTGTTTTAAAAAACAGACATTCATAATTCATACATTTATGCTCAGCATTTTGATATAGTCTCAGTTTTTCAAAGGTAGATGCTGTTTTATAAGCTTATTTTTTGGTTTTATAAATGTACAAAATAAGAAAATAATGTTATAGGCCTCATTCACACTTCTGAAAGGGGCTGATTCCATGAGTCTCATAAATTCCTCCGTGAGACTCACGCTATCGGCTGTGGGATGGAGGCGCTGTTCAATGCCGCCCCCTGCAAAGTGCCGCTCCAGGCAAACGCCTTGTTTGCCTCGCGGTAAATACGCCCCTGCATAGAGGTATAGCAGTCATATCCACTCAAAAGTATCTTAAATGTCCATCTCATTCACTGAATATACTCAGGTGTTGTCGGGGGAAGGGTATAATAAGAGGAATGTAACACTTGAGTGCGGGTTAAGCATAACTCCTCCACTTGTAAAGCAGACAGTAGTGTGGGGTAGGCACAACTCATCCACTTGTAAATCAAACAACAATCCATTGCATGTGCTTTAGTGCAGGTTAAGCATAACTCCCCTACTTCTAAATCATATAGTAGTGCGGGTTAGGCACAACTCCTACACTTGTAAATCAAACAACAGTCCATTCCAAGCAGATAATATATAAGGTGAACTTATCCAAAAGCTCTCCTTCAGAAATGGGATATCCCAGCGGACACCGGATTCCTCGATGGGCGACCACAGGGTCAGGGGACACCCAAAACCTGACTGGTTTCGCCTTTTACTGCCGGCTTCGTTAGAAATGTGATGAAGGCTATTTTTAAATTCTGCATAGCCACTCTTGTGGTTTACACACCTCGGTTACACTGCATAGCCAGGATGGAGTTACCCCGTTTCATGACTTGAGCTTTGAAGCTACCTGTGTGACCTGCCTATACTCATTTCCTGTTCATCGCACCATAAAACAGTATAATACTTCTGTGTTCCTCCCTGTTCTCTCCTTCGTTTATAGGCTACCTAAACACCTTCTCTAACTCCTAGTGTCTAGATATGTCAGGCTCAAAGCACCATGCAATGCATGAAAGAGAGCCTGGCTCAGAGCATAAACTTCCACTTTCAGTTTGATATCTACAGGTTCCAGATACTGTGAGACTATGGGGTCTATTCACGAAGCTGCCGAAGGATCTAGTCGTAGCTTCGGCCAATCCTTCGGCTAGCTTCGGCCCCAGGACCCCTTCGGTTCAGTAGAACCGAAGGGGTGCTGTACGGGCTATGCACTATAGTCCGTACAGCTTCCGAACGTGGCCGAGCGGCTCAGTCGAGCCGGACGCATATGCTTCGGCTCGGCTAAGCCAAATTTTTTCTATTCTGACACGGCTCCGTGTCAGAATAAAGAAAAAAAAAAGAAAAGGCAGTGTTTCTCTCCTGGGCGGCTGGGAGCGGGAGGCTCCCAGAGCGCCCGGGAGAGTTTTTTCTGTTTTTCTGTTTTGTTTTGACGGCAGCAGAGCCGCCGGACAATAGGAAACTATTGGGCGGAGCTAGCTGTCACTGCTAGCTCCGCACAATCGTTTTCTATTTACTTTTTTAAAACTTTTAAAACTATTTTTCTGTTCTGCTCGGTCCTTCTGAGGGACCGAACAACTGAGCCGAATGCCGCTCAGCAGCATTCGGCTATTCACTCACTGCTGTTCGGCATCTATA